GCCAGAGATAACAGTGAGGATGAAAACAGAGCGCCGCAGGGACAGGGACGATCACAGCGGAAGGCGCACCCATGAGGACGCAGTCGCTGCAGCGACGGATGCGGCATGCAAATGCGAAGGGCTGGTGGCCACTGCGACGCGCATTGCGCAGTCACTGCAGCGACGGCGCCAACGCCGTAAATCATCTTGCGCGCTGCAGCGCCGCGACCGCGATCAACCAACGCATCCACCCAAGCAGCGTTTACTAAAAGCGATGACCACGCGGGGGCCCGATGCGGCGCGCGCCCGCCCCCCCCCCCCTGCATCCTCCATCTCCTCCTCCTCCACCTCCTCCCCGTTCCCCTTCCTTAGCCTCCTTCTTCTTCACCGCCCGTCCCCCCCCCCTCCCTCCGCCTCGTCCTCCGCCTCGCCCCCCCCCCCCCCTCGCCCTCGCCGGCTCAGGCCGCCCCGGGCTTCTTGGCCGGTCGCGGCTGCAGCCGCGGCCGCGGCTCCACCTCCGGGAAATCACCCTTGGCCAGCGCGGCGGCGTTGGCAGTCTGAGGCGCCGACGCCCGCAGCTCGTTGGCGCCCTCGCCGGAAGCCTCGATCTCCGCCTTGAGCTCCGCGCTGGGCCCCTCGCTCCGCGCCGCCAGCCAGAAGTGCGAGACGAGCGCGTCGCGGCTGCCTCGGGGCGGGGGGGTGGGTCGGGTGCTCGCGAAGAACTCGCGGCTGCCAACCCTCCCCAGCGAAATGCTTTTCTGCAGAGCAGCCTGCGCCCGCCCTTGCCGAAATGCAACAGTCCCCCTCCATGCTAGGTGGCGCGCAGACGATGTCGTCGGGGGCGTCGTCGCCGCGACGTGACGTGCTTCGAAATCATGGGTCAATTCTGGTCCGCGCAGCGCTGCAGCGCGACGTCGGGGGCCCGCGGAGGGCTGCGGGGGCAAATGCGCGGCGAGCTCGCCAGCCTTGAACGCGCGCGTGCAGCGCGCGGCAGGCGGGGCCCGCATGATCTCCCGGTGCAACATGTTCGCCTGGCGCTTCAGCGCGTGGAACCGCGGCGCCACCTGGCATGCCCCCCCTGAACGCATCCATCGCCAAGCCCTTGTGGGCTGGCGGTAGGCGCTCTTTCGCGAGCGACGCCTGCTCCTGCGCCCTGGAAGTCGCCTTGCATGTCTCGAGCAGGCCGTCCACTGCAATCCGCCCGCTCGATTTCCTGTTCGGCGCGCTGCAGCGCGTCGAACAAGACATCGAGCGGCTGCACTATAAGAACATTCGCATCGCCGTCTTTACCACCGCCATCCATAACATCACCACCACCATCATCACAACCATGCTCCGCCATCCCTGAAGCTACTCCTGCTATGACCCTCCGTGTTCCCATGGGCGGCGGGGCGGCTGCATCCATGCCGCGGTGATCTTCTCGCCAACCAGGTCGCCGCGCAGCTTGTGTTGGGCGGCGAGGCCCATCTCTGAGAGGGCGACCACCATGTAGACTTCGTCCGAGCCTTTCTTCAAGGTAATATGTTTCGAGACGTCGAAGCCAGCCTTCTTCGCCCTGAACGCGTTGCTCTGCATCTCGGCGACTGACATCGCCGCAAGGCCGCTCCCTGTCAGCGCGGTGTCATCGGCGCTGGCTGCAGCGGGCGCAACGCCGTCTGGCTGCTGGCCAGCGCGCCACTTGAACTCGATTCCCGCTGCCCTCATCCGCCGATTAGCTGGCCCCTAAACCTTTCGAGGAACGCCTCTCAGGATCGCCGCGGCGATGCAGGAACAGATGCGACGACGACGGCGACGCGGGGCGGGGTTAATATAGGATCGGAGGGGGGGGCGCCCAACGCGCCATTGAAGATTGCGCGTGTCTGCGCGATGTCGGACGCGCACTTGTAGACGCGATCTCCAGGCACCTTCTTTGCCGAGTGCATGGGGGGGGGGGGGGGAAGGGGGGGGGGGCGGGGGGCGCGCGCCCACCATCGTTATGAAGTGATGCCCGTCCTCCTCTCCCAGCTCCAGGTTCCGCGCGAGCGCGCGCGCGCGCGTCGCTCGTGAGATTGTCGGCCGCCACCGCGTCGCCCCTGCGAGCAGGGCTGGCGCCGGCGGAAATGTCGCCCGCCTTAATCAGCCCATCGATTCAGCAACTGGTTCCGAATACAACTGGGAGAAAAATGTGAGGGGGGGGCGGGCTGCTGACCGCGCGCGCTTCGGCTTTGCTTTGAAAAGGCGCGCGCTGCAGCGCCAGCACGCAGTTCCCACGCCAGCAAAGCGCTATTCGCAGCTATGCGCCACGCGCTGCAGCGCGTGCCATCGCGGGGGCGGGGGGGGGGGGGAGGGGGGGGGATGGAAGCGCCGACGGGCTGATATTAGTCTGGCACACCCCGTCGGCAACTAGATCGCCAGCGTAGTTCGCCCCGGTGAAGCTCGCGACTACGCGAGGGAAGCTCTCGCTGCGCTTGCCCCGCGTGATGAAGTTGACCTTCTCCGGAACTCTGGCCCGATCATCGGGGCCTGCCTTGTGACCTCCGCTTTCGTGAAGGTCTCCAGGGCGTTGTCGACCTCGTAGTGGATCTCCCCGTTCTGGGGCCCGAGCTCGATAAACTTGCAGAGCTCTGGAATGCACGACGAGCGCGGTGGATTCGCGTGGGCCGCTTGCTCGGCAATGCCTTTCCAAACGGGCGGGGCCACGCCGCCCGAGATGCTGCGCGCCAAGGGCATTCGCGCACCTGCCTGCAGCGGTCGCCGACCGCGTGCTGCAGCGCGCTGCGCATACATATGACTCATCATCATCGTCTTCATATTCCTGCTCCTGCCTCTCCATCTAATCCACTTCCTTCTCTTCCCCCCCCCCCCCCCCGCCCTGCCATCGCTGCGTCGCTAAATGCGCCCGAGCCTCATATCGGGCGGATTGGCTGCAGCCAATTCGAATGATTTCAGTCTCGCGCACGGCCTCGCGCACGGCCGCGTTCAGGGCCCGCTGGGCGCGCGCCTGCATGCCCGTCGCGCTGGCCACCTCGCGCTCGATGACGAGTCAGCGCAAGCCATCCCGCGCGCAGCCGCGAGCTGCGGCTGGGAGGCGCAGCCGCTCTGGGTCTACGTGGCCTCTCGAGTCTGCGATCGCCTTCACCGTCGTCGGTGCTTTGGCAATGGCGCAGCGCAGGGGCGCGCCGTCGTGCGACCCGCCAACCGAAGTGCATCGCGTCGAATCCAGCGAGGGGCACCCCCCCGCTGAGGCGCGAGAGGTGCTCGTTGGCCTTGAGCACCTCGTCCGGCTGGTGACGGCTGGTGCCCGCGCGGCGGCGCCTCGGGGGGCCGTCGCGCTCGTCGCCATCGCGGGGGCGAACCCTGGGCTGATTTCTTGGCGCCCAGGTTGCGAGCCTGCGTAGAAGAGAGCCATCGCGGTTCTCTACGTCCGCGCCCGCCTGGGCGGGCGGCGACTGGAGCTGGCGCGCCAGCCCCTCTGGCTGGGGGCAGTCCTTCAGGGGGCCCCATCCCGACTCCAGTCGCCCCGAGCCATTGCTCTCTGCAGTGCGCTGCAGGACGGCCTCCCGGTGGCGCGCCGCGAGCGGCGCCGCGGCGGCGCGCCGCGATGCGCGCGCCAGCGCGAGCGCGACGAGGGCCAACCCGCGCGCCGCGCGGGTGGCTTGCAAATACCGCGCGGCCGCGCAGCCGCGAGTCAAGTCGATCGCGCGCGCGGCATTCGTGGAGAGCGATGTGGGGGGCAGGGGGGGGGGGGGGGGGATTGCAAATGCAACTGGCGATGGGCTGCGGCCTGGGGCGCGTGCCTTGCGCGCGCAGCGCGGGGTCGATGCGCGCGCAATCAAATTTGGCACGCCCCAGCGCGCAAGGCGAACCGTCAATAGCAACGCATGCAACATTAAATCGGGCGCGCGGGGAATCAATTCCGCTGCAGCGGAGCTGGATGACGGTTGGAGGCCGATCAACACGCAACTTGAAGCCATGCTTCAACATGCATTGTGCAGCGCTGCAGCGCTTCATATCCATGCGCGCCAGAAGACAGCGCTGGAGCGTTTTCGATATGTCAACGCGAATATCCAAGCCAACGACTCCAGGCCGAAGATGCCAACCATTTAGCGCTGCAGCGCTCAACGAACAAACGGGGCCATGCTAGAGGGTGCATTGCTTTATTGGCCTCTGCAGAGGACTTGGAGATCAAGCGCCAACCAGTAGCTAAGCCACTTATAACCTACCTCGCTTACTTGTTATACATTGTTTGCGAAGTTCGTTAACCATTTAAAATCAAAAAGCTAAGTATATATCAGTGTTCAGCGAAGTCTGTGCTAAGTGAGCTAGCCGAGCCACTTACTGGGTGCTTAGCTGGGTGCATAGCTCGGTCGTATCAGTGACGGCTGGCTGTGTAAGGTCTTGCACTAAACCGTTTAAACCCTTAGCAGCCGCCGCGGCCATCCAAGTGCGGGCTGGGGCCTGCTGGCGCGTCCGAGACGTCATCGAACATGCAGAAACTGTTTTCCCTGTCGCACCTCCGCCGCCCCGTGCCTGGAGACGGAGACGAGGGTTCCCCGAGGTCCCGGCCAAGTTGCCCAATAAGGACGCCTGGCGCACTATCCTGTCAAAACCTTGGCTTCGCAGCGAGCGCATTACCGTGTTGGAGGCCCGCTCTGGGGGAATGGTCTGTAAGTCCAGAGGGAGGTATGTGGGCCACCGCAACAAGAATCATCTCATCCTTGGGGACTCGATGGGCTCCGTACTGGCTTTCCTCCAGGGGCGCAGTGGAGACAACCGAATGCTGGAGTGCTGTGGGAAATGGATGTCTATGGAGTCGCACTCAATTGCAAGTTCAGGTGGCATTGGGTCGTGTCTGAAATAGACCACGCTGATTCGCCTTCCAGGATGTTCGAAACCTCTGCCCATGGACGGGCACGCCGCGGTCGTGCATCTTTTCTCTCTTCCTTTTCTACTTGTAACCAGCTGGCACGCAGCGAGGAGTTTCCCACGTTCGATGCGCCGAGCACCGACTCGGACAGCGTCAACGAAGGCTGCGCCGGGCGATGCGCGAGACCAGTGAGACTCTCTGCGGGCCGCGGGCGGCCCCCAGCGCATGCGGAGGGCGTGCTTTCCGTCGCTGCAGTGTCCACGGGCTCATCGAGATCGGGGCCGCTGCCGGTGGCGCGCCGTCTCCGGCCTCCGAAGGGCGACCCGGCGGCGCGGCGGGCGCGCCGCCTCCGCGAGGGTCGCGCGAAGGCCCGCAGGGCGAAGCGCGCGGTCTCGGCGCGGGGCGCGACTTCGGGGCCGCTCCTGCTCAAGAGGGGCCCGCGACAGCTCAGCGTCCTAGAGCGGGCTTCTGTGCAGCCCGGGGTCGCAGCCTCGCACGGGACGAGCTGCGCAGAGTTCACCACGCGGGCCGCGCGCGAGAAGTCCCAGCTCGGCACGGACGAGCAGATCGACGCAGCGGCCGTCGATTACCTCGACTCGCTCTACTTCCGGAGCCACGAGGCGGCCTCCGGTGATCGCCTCCTGGCGGCCATCAAGTTCATGAGGAGCGGGGGCCCGCGGCCGCTTGCCCTCCCGCCCCCGCGGACGAGGGGGGCTCTGAAGGGCTTCCGCAATGCGGCCCCCGGCGCCTCTCGCGTCGGGTTGCCCCGGGAATGGGCCGCAGTCATACCGGGGGCCTTGGAGGCCGCCGAGCGCAAGGATGCTGCCCTCTGTCTTCTGGCGTGCCACGATGCGCATTCCCGTCCACTTCAGGTTTGGGACCTTGTGCCCCCTGCGCCCCGCCTCCAGGGCCACCGCCGCCCGCGCCTGGTGGCGCGGCCGGAGGAGAGAGGCCAGCCTCGCCAGACGGGGAGCTTCGACGACGCCGTCACAGTCGAGGACCTCGCCGTGCACCTGCCGCCCCACCTGGCGCAGTTGGCGAAAAGACGGCGTCCGAGCGAGCCACTGCTCCGCCTGTCCACCAGCCAGCGCAAGGACGCGTTTTCAGAAGGCCGCGGGCCTCGTCGGGCTGGGGGCCGGGCAGCTCTGCGCGCACCAGGCGAGGCACGGGGGGGCCTCGAGGGATGCCATGCTGAAGAGGCGCGACCTCTCCGAGATCCAGGAGTAGGGGGCCGGAGAACCTTCGGCTCCATCCGACGCTACGAAAAATTTAGGATGGTGCACCAGGCGATCAACAGGACACCTCCAGAGACCCTGGTCTGCAGCTGACTGGCCGTCAAGTGCCTCAACGATTGGCTCCACGGACGTTCTATGCCTCCCAATGTGCCCCCTGTCAAGAATGGGCGCAGGCTCAACGGAAAGCGGCCGAGATCTTCGCTGGCTCCGGGAGGCAAGCTAAGGCGCTGGCCCGCTGTGGCGTCCCTAGTGAAGGATGGGATTTCAATGATGAGCCTTCTTGCGATCTGACCCTCTCGGGCCCCCAGCGTAGGCTCTTGGTCGGCATCCTCCAGCGCAGGTTTCGCCATCTGCACTTTGCGCCTCCGTGCCAGACCCTCTCGCGGGCTAGACGGCTGGGCGGTTCGGGCCCGCCGCCCTTCGGGTCTATCGATTCCCTTTGGTTTTCCAGGACCTGGAAGGTCCTGGTCTCCGCAAAGTGGCTGCATCAAATGCTCTCATCTCTTTTGTGATCAAGGCTTGTCGGCTGGCTCCAAAGCAAGGTATCGCTGTGGGTCGTCCCTGAGATAAAACAGATGCTCGCGGAGCGCATATGTTCTTCCGCCAGTGTAGATTTCTGCACGTTCGGGGAACGGCGGTGGAAAGCTACAACATGTGTTGACCTTGTTCCCGGCCTCAGCTCCCTCGCGAAAAAAATGTGCAGGCTCGCCTTGTCGTCCGCCGGATCGCCTCGCTGGAAGCCAAAGGGAAAATACCCATCCGGTGATTATTGGACAAGGGGTGCTGAACCCGATCCACCCGCCCTCTGCTCGCGTCCAACTTCCACAATTGCCAGAGCACAAGAGGTGGGATAAGGCAGAGTGCGCATTCCTCACGCTCGAGGCTCTCGGCCAGCGGGCGCCCCTCGCCAACCCAGTGCGAAGTTGGTCAGGCGGTCCATCTCTACGCTCTGGCGCCGTGAAAAAGCATCCTCTGACTTCGAGCTACTTCTAGAGTTGGGTCTCGAGGCTTTGCGACATGCAATTTTGTCCGCAACCCTTACGGTTCAATTCGTGCTGCCCCCCCCTCCCCCCCTTCCACGCGACTTTTTCGCGCGTGGGCAGAGCGCGCATTCCTCGCGCTCGAGGCTTTCGGCTAGCCGGCGCCCCTCGCTAGCCCAGTGCGCAGACGGTCAGGCAGTCCATCTCTAAGCGCTGGCGCCGTGGACGAAAAACACACAGTTTGTTTCGCCGCATTGTTTTTACTTGCGGGGCCGAGAAGCCTTAGAGAGACAAAAAAAAAACACACGCGAGTGCGGAAGGTGTTTGAACCAGAATGTTGTTCTTCATTGTGGACCTCCGAGGGTGGCCTGGGGGGGGCCCGAGATCGCGCTGTTTTCCTGTGCGGGGCCCAGGACTTTTGAAACAAAAAACATCAGAACCCAGCTGGGGTTTTTCCGCCGGACAAACACCAGCAACACAGCCGGCAAAAGACGCGCGCCGAAGTTTGGTTTTTGCCCCCGCGGTGTCCTAGGATATTTTCTGACATATTTCCGAAGACCCAGCGAACAATCCCCGAGTTGTTTTTTTGCCCCCGCCCCCCACCCACCCCCCGATATAGAGAGAGAGAGAGAGAGAGAGAGAGAGAGAGAGAGAGAGAGAGAGAGAAAAAAAAAAAAAACGAGAGACACGTTGGAGCACTCCCCCGAGAAAGCCCAGAATTGGGAGGTTTCCTGGGGGGGGTCTGATATAGGTTCGTTGCCAAGCGCGGGGGCCCAGGGCATTTTTTCTGAACAGGAATGAAGAAGCACGGCGCACCCGCGCACGCGCACAGACACACGCGCGCATCCGCGCACGCACACGCACACGCGCGCACAGTCTGCGGGTCGAGAGCGAGCCTCTTCCGGTAAAGAGCTAGACGGGGCGCGCAAAGCACCAATTGGGGAGACAGGGCGCGGGCGGGCGGGGCCTCAGGCGGCCGGAGGGCGCGGGGTGCAGGCGGCGCAGAAGAGCTTGCACAGGAGAAGGTACGCCTTGGACAGGAGCCGGAGGCGAAGTCCCGGAGGGAGAGCGAAGTGGCGTTGCCGTCGGCGGCGCGTCAGAATCACCATCCTCGGGCGCTGCGTGCGGAAGGACGCAATCAGGTCGACGTCCGGGGGGTAGAGGTACACCGGGTAGGCGAAGAGCAACAGGTGCCACCAACTGGTGAAGAGAGGCCCAGGAGATGAGGATGACCACGAAGACGATGCGCAACGTTCTGCCACCGGGTGGTCGGTAGCGGCCCGGGGTGGTAGCCCAATCCACGTCCAGGAAGCCGCCGGGGGGCGCGGCCAGAAGCAGGGCCGTCTGTGTCTGCGTGCCGAGGGCCGGGCCTGAGCCGCGCTGCCCAGGGTAAGCGGGGCCGCCGAAGCGGCATGGTGCAGTGCAAGCGCCGGGCCGGGGCCGCGCTGTGCCGGGCGCCGCCGCCATGGGGGGGGGGGGGGCAGCGAGCGGGGGGGAAGAAGCGAACAGGGAGGAGAGCGGCCGGCGCCCCACGCCAGCCGAAGTCGCGTCAGCATGCACCGAGGTGCTCACGCGGGGACAAGCCCCAATGCGCACAGGTAAGACACGAGGCCCCAACGCGGGCGCGTCACGCACGTCGCTGGCGCACCAATGCGTCGCAGGTGGGTGCAGGGGGGACGCGGAGTCCCAGATCCTTGAATCTCATTCAGCCAATGGGTACAGGTAGGACGCAGAGCCCCAGATCCCTGGAAACGGGAGAGAGGGAGGGGAGAGGGGGACAAGGGCGGGGTCCAGGCGGAAGGGTGGGTAGCCAGCACGTGGAACGCGGGCGCCACAGGGGCGATGGGGTGCAGGTAATGGGGGAAGAGAGGGACACACGGCCCCCAGCCAGGTGACAGGTGGGGGTGTGGGTCGGGGGCGGGGGCGCAGGTAGTGGGAGCGATTGGCTAGTTGTGCTGTGGCGCTGTGGGGCAAGTGTGGTCGGGTCGACGAGAGTCAGCGCCGCGGGCGCTTTCCAGTCCAGGCGTCGTGGTACCTGGAGCTGCGCGCCTGGTCCCCGTCGCCCCCGCCACCCTTGGCGACCTCCCTTTTCCTTTGCACTTCCTGGTGGAGTTTCTGCTCCCGCTCCCAGTCCATGTAGACGCCTGCGCTGCTGGGCCATCGGTCCACGTGGTAGTTGTTGGCGCTCATGTCATCCAGGAATTTGTCGATGATCCACTGCTGCCAGCGGCGTGGGTCGAAGGGCGCCTGGTCTTTGGATTTGCCCTTGCCCTGCTCCTTGCACATGTGCCTGCACCACGAATGCCAGGCTGCGTTAAAGTGGGGTCCCCCTTCTGCTTGCAGCCTCTCCAGGTGTGTTACCGCTGTCTCGTTTGGGAGGCGCTGCCGTCCAACGCGGAAGGTGGTGCGCGTCTGGCTGGTGTCGGTGTGGCTGCGATCGTCTTTGTAGTAAGAGTTGCGCGATTCTGGCTGGCGCCGGTGTGCGCTACCTGCGCCCCTGCCAGTGTCGTGGCTCTGGTCCCAGTAGCGCTCCTTAGTTCTGTCCCAGTCCTTGGTGTCGTGTCTGCGCCAATGTGCCTCCGACGCGCTCTGGTTGCGGTCGCGGTCGCGGTCGCGGTCTCGCTCTCCTGTGCGGGGCCGGTCGTCCTCTCTGGACTCGCGCCTCACCGCCGTCGCGCACGGCCCCCAGGCGACTGTCTCCCGCACCCTGCCGCGCGAGCGCTCTGGGATGTGCGCGGAGAGAGGGGCGAGCGCAGGTCGCGGGTCCTCCGGGCCCATGGAGCGGCCCCGCGCGCGCAGGTTCCGGTCGTCGGCCACGGCCTCTAGACGCAGGATTGGCTCAGCGGGTGCGTGGGCAGCCCTCTGGTCGGTACTGCGCGGGTCGATCTCGGGGTTGGTGCGCCGCTCGCTCTGAGGACTTGTCTTGGCTGGGCGCTCTTCGACTGTGCCCGAGTCTGAGGGCGAGGAGACGGGATGGACCTCGCTCAGGGCCTCGGCGAGGCGCAGTTTCTCTTCTTTTGCCTGGTCGTCGCTGCCCCAGTCAGGGTCCTCCTCCTTAGGGGGCATGAGGGGTGCAGGTTCGTAGGTGGGGTCCTGTGTGCTGGATTGCGGCGGGTAGGGCTCAGGCTTGGGCCTGTCCTGCATGTGTCCTGAGGACGCCGCTTCGTCTCCCGTGGTGTCGATGCCTTTCGAGGGGTTGTCGAGGATCGCTGGTGCTTGCTTTCTGTGTACCTTGCTTTGGGCATTGTCCAGAAAGGTAGCTGCGCGGAGCGCTGCGTCTCCACGGAGGACGTTTACGCGTAGCGTCCTGTCGCCGACGCCTCATACTTCCAGCCGCTCGCTGCCGATCTGGACAAGTAGCGTTCGCGCGCCCTGCTCGCGGGCCATGATGCGGAGGACGGGTCCGAAGACGGCTCCGTCCAGCGGCTGCGTCGTGAGGGGCTCGGCGCAGTCCGCAGTGCTGAACCACCTGGCGCGGGAAAGGGTGTCACCCCTGATGACCACGTAGTCGCCGCACTGGATGCCTGGGTTGTTCGTGGCAGTTGGGCACAGGGAGCCCGCGATGGGCGTGTCCGGGACCTGCCCTTGCTGCACTTCACGGCTGCCGTGTTCTGCGCGCCTCCCGAGGGGTTGAGGTGTCGGGCCGACGGATGGCGGCGCCCCGCCGGACTTGGTGGCCGTGGGTCGCGTGGCCGGCTGGGCCGGGGTCGGGTCGTGGCCCCGCGGTGTGGGTGGAAGTGAAGGGGTAATGGGTGAGTCGCCTCCTTTAGTCGGCGGTTTGGTGGGCGTTGGGCAGGGTGTCACGCGCCATTCCTTGGTGGGCCTTGTTGACTGGACTGGGCTGGGTGTCTGCTCGGGGAGAGGGCCCGCCCGCGGGTTGGTGCGCTGCTGAGCCCCGCTGGCTGTTGCGCTTCCAGTGGCTGGCTGGGCGGAAGCAGCAGCGTCGGGATCCCGGACGGGGGGGGGCAGTGCAGAGGCGTGGCGGTCGTAGTAGCTGCGCTCAGCCTCATCC